ACTAACCTCCTGCTGTATAAACAATTAACGACAAATTTTACTTTTTGACTATGTTTGACTGCGTTAGTGCAACTTCTCTCGTGCTGCACGAGAAAAAAAAATGTTCCTTTGGGGTTTAAATTTTCGGTGAAGTAGAAAGCAAAAAAAGAAGAAAAGAGAATATTTCCCTCAAGTTGAGTTCGTAGTAGAAGAGGGGGAAGAAGAAAATCAGTTGTTAGTCCCATGGTGTGTATGGTCTTTTCTTTATGTGTAAGTTTATTCTAGTTCAGCTGGCCTGACCTGAAGTAGTTGCTTTAAAATAAAGCATATCTCTCTCGCTGTCTACCTGAAGTATCAACGAACTAGCTCAACTTAAGCCTGTTACCGTTGCTTGCTTGGCTTTTCACTCAGCCAAATCGCTTATATGGGGTGCACTCAAATGAAAACACAATCGTGTTAATTCGTGTAAGAGTATTTAGAATATTTATCAATAACGCCGCTGAACTTGCATCGCTCGTAGAACTTCCTTTTTGTGAGCGCCTTCTCTGCTTGAGTTTGTTGGAAACACAACCACTTCGAGCCGAGGCAATCGATGATAGCGTTGGTGACATCACCAAGTACGCGACTCACAGAGCACTGGAGAAAACCAATGTTTTCGTCGCTCCCGACGGTTCCCTGGAAGCCGCCAGCGGCGTAAAAGCGTAGAGCTGCGAGGACTTGTTGTTCGACCGTCAGCACACGGGGCCCTTCAAGACAACACAGCCAGCGAGTCACCCCTTTGGTCAGCCGGTATTCGCTCACAAACCTCGCATCGATCGTCTCTAAAGCATCCGGGTGATCTCTAAAAACTCGATCCGCTGGCGAACCCAACAGTAGAGATGCATATGTTAGGGTCACCATCTTTCACGATGCAGATTGATCTCCGGCTTCGTCTCGACCACTCAGTTAACTGCATCGTCAAAGTGCATCGTGACGACATTTTGATGCCACAGCCAACTGCATCATTTTACGAGCATAGCACGAACTGCATAGGGAAAAGTACATTTTAACGTCATGTCACGTGACCCGAGAGAATAGCCAATCAGTGTCCTATGCAGTTTTCTATATAATTTAGTTTGCGTTCCAGCATAGATAGACTGGAGTCTTTAACGTGCATCACAGAGTGCTGACACACGACGTTCACGTCGGTATGATGCTCATCCCGATCGAAACGGGCAGGGTCCTGGGTTCTGCAGCGTGAGCTCTCGCCCCACGCGCTTCGAGCTGGTGTGCGCTAGCGCATTCGGCAACCGATCCCCTAAGATACGTTCCACAAGATACAGAGCAAGGTGCTCGTGCGGTATTCCAAACAACAACAACAAGAACAACAAACAACAACGACAACAAAGCATTAAACTGAACCACAAAGGCGAATCGGCGGAGGTCATAGGGTGATTGCACGAATCCTTTTTTTATGTTCAATTTGTTCGCGGGCGGTTGCATATTATTTTTCCGATAAAACAATAACGGCGAATATGTTTCATTTGTAGTGATAATTTTGAGTCCACACGCAGAAGAAAAAAACGTTCTTCAAGGAGTCGACACGGCGGTGATTTAGTATTTGTATTTTATTATTAGAAAGGCGGGTGCACGTGCATTCTGGCATTCGGTGAGAAGACGACGGTAAAGACGTTCCTTTGTTTTTGTTTACTTTGTGGAATAGGTTCTTCGACCCAAAATTATCAGGGATATATGTGCCTCTGCTTTCGGTTCAGGTAAGCCTTTGAAGACTCCCTAATTTCTAGTCCATCGTAGAACATATCTATCGAAACGGAAGTATTCTCAAACGTTATTATAAGGCATTCGCCTTCGTCAGCCTTGATAATCCTTTAGGAATGACTTGTTGGAAAGCATAGCGTCGCGTCAGAATATCGTTAACGTCGATAACCGGCCCCGCATATTCCTCTCATTCAACAAATAATGTTTCATGCGTCCGAGGGCAAGGTACACCAAAGTGATGAGGGTTGCTCTGGTCCTCATTTGTGAACATGAATGTGCGTTGAGAGCGAGATTGAATATCACTTGGGGATTTCGTGAACCTGCTGATTTTCGAGTTGGATGAAGTTCGACTACGTGGGAGATATTGAACCCGAGTTAAGCACAAAGTTCGACTAAAGTTCGGCTACTATGCTCATGCGAAAAAAAAAATTAAACGAGCTGACGTCACAAGGCGAAGGAGGAATGCGGTGTTTATGAGAATCACATAAATAAAAGGTCATGTGTTTGCTTTTAAATAGTGAAAAAAAAAAGACATACTTGCGAGTAACAGAACTTGCGAGTAATACAGTACAGGATATAGAACTTCTTAACCCGAATGATGCTTGAAGTCGCGACTTTGTGCATCGTCTTGGATGAGATATTCTATTTTGTACTTTTTTATTGCAAACATTGTACGTTATATATTGCTGCGCACAGAACCGAGTGGCATTTTTTTCATTTGTAGCGAAGTATATGTGGTATTCACTGGCGGCCATAGCTGAGCCCGCTGTCGCAGAGCGAGAGCTCACGATGAGCTTCCACAATGCTTCCGCAACGTGCAATTTATACCACCAAGATTGTAAGTCCTCTTAGAAGACAAGTGGGGTATCGTTTTGAGCATGCGCTATAAACGCTGCATGCGATCAAGTATGGCGCCCACTGAATATCACCTATATTATACATTGCTGGTTTCTATATTTTAATCTTTATTTCGAGCAGCACTATTCAAAAATTCGAACTTCGTTGTATTGCCCAAAATTCGAAAATTTTCCAAAGCGGTCGAGCGGCTTGACAAAACTTTCCAGCATCCCTGCCTTCAACTATAGTCTTCTCAAACTAAACAAACAATTAACGGCGGCGACAATAGGATTTCGTTCATTACGTTGCTGTTTTTTCTTCGGTTTGTAAGGAAAGCGAAAGACCGGGGTAGATTCTTCCCCTTCACGTGGCTGCCCGAACCGAACCAACGATCGTTGACGCGATTTGCGATGCCATCTGCTTGGAGCTTTTGAATGAGTGGATGGCTTCCGCTGTTCCTGTTCACAACATTCATTAAAATATTGGCTCAATAAAATATAAATAATTCATCTAATTTTACCTGCATGAAAACCAGAAAGATCTTATAAGCAAACCCTGCATACGAAGCTCGCAGTAGCCAACATTTTTGCTGGCGGAGTCAGCTGAACTTGATTTTATCTCTTAGTTTTCTGTGAGTCATTCTTGACACAAAATGTAGGGTCAGCGAGTGTGTGCGAATATTTTCTAGGAAGGTGTCGACCAACATGAGCATGATGAAGCGCCGTAGTCGTCTGTGGAGTGTATGGACAGGGTTTAATTCGAGGTCTCTTGATACTGGAGCAGAAAGAAAATACGGTTCTGGTTTCAGGGTCCCTTTGTTCCACCTGCGGTGTATACAGCCACAACCTTTCTTAATTCATAATGTTTGATTTGTGCATTTGCATGGATGGGAAAGGCACCCGCATACTATATATATATTCGGTGTAAACATGGCCTTACTCGCCTAGCAACGGCTACAGGTGTTTTGAGGAGGTATCTGGCGTGTTTCGGCCTCTGTGCCCTCCATCTGTAAGATACAATTTCGAGTGTCGCGCAATGGTGATCCCAAGGGAGTTAAGTGTGTTGCGACAAGTAACATCGCGAGAAATATATCTTTGGTCGGTCACGATGAAACAAATGTGGCACGTCACAATCCGAGAAAGATGTGTTCACGTAGCATTGTAGCACAAACGTCTCACAACTTTATACAACTGGGACTATAGAACGTTGTAAACTCTCAGGGCATTATTTTCTTAGAAATTAGATATCCCTCTGTTGGAGGTAAATCACAGATGATGGCGAACTTGATTTTCTATTTTTATTTGGATTACTTTCCTTACAGAAGGAAAAATAAAATGACGTAGTTTTCTAGTTAAATGGATCAACTTTACTGACCGAGTTTTCTTTTACGTTTCAATTGATGCTTCCAGCATGTAAGACGCGTTTCACGTGTATATAACTGGTAAAATTACTAGGAAAGACAACACCATACGAAGCTAAAATAGTGTTATCAAAAGGCAAAAGCCGTTCGATTACGCTCACGCGCAAACTCTTTAGTGTAAAAGAATATCAACATTCGCGATGAAAGCGTCCACTGTAAAATTCCAATTATATTTAAATCCACACTCATTGAGATTGGCTTGAAATGCTCAGTAGCTCACTTAACTTTGGTGTATCTATACTCCGTTCACCCTTAAGCTGAGACAACAAGCTCCGCCTTCAGTGCGAGCTTTGTGCCCTTGCTGACGCAAGTGTGAACGCGCAGGCCCGCGCATTTAGAGCACTGCGGAAGCCAGGGAGCTCGCGCTGAAGGCGAAGTTCCTAGTCTCAGCTTATGGGTGAACAAAGTATAGTATTCGCTTAAATCCTATAGAAGTGCACGTTATTTTACAAAATTAATCACAGTGAAATTAAGAAGCTATTTTCTAGTCTGCTAAATCAGTTTGCTTGAATATTTAACACTCCTCGCAGAGACGTGAAATGCATGCTGTTGTCAAGCCTACTTACAACTGAACGTCACAAATTGGTGACAAAAGAACATTTATGTGAACAATTGGTATTCTTGACGATATAGCTCTGGTTGCCAAAAAGCTGCTTTTTATAGGTTACCAAGCGATAGTTGTTTCTTTGTTCAATGTCATGATACGACATATCTGGTTTCCTTAGCACAAGCGAGCGTGTTTTTAACCTGAAATAAAATAAGGCAACTATTTTTGAGCGAGCATCTTTGCTCTTTCACCTTGACAGTGAGCGTTGTGTTTTGCAGCATGCACCGGCTGAGGGGATTAGACAAGCCATACCCCGATGACGATTCTTCTCGGAGCAGTCGGAGCAGCAGTGCCGAAAGAAAGGCTGAACCACACCGGGGACAGTCATCCCGGGCGCTCAACGATACGTCCAGGGCCACAGACGTCAAGACAGTGCAACCTCACTCGTTTTGTCGTGAAATGCCTCGTGTCGGAAGGAACTGCCATACGTTTTCCAAGGGCGGTGGCCCCCTTGTCGTCAACAACGCAGACTTCCAGCGATCTCCGACCACGAGGTTGAGGTCCGGCAAGCGCCTACCAAGAGACTACAATTTTCAAGCGCTACAAGGTCTCCATAATGCACCAGCTTCTGAGGTAGTCTTTACTTTGATGCTCAAGATGGAATATTTCGATGCCCTAATGGTGGACGCAACTCGTAACGTAGACTCGCTGAGCGCGCTGCTGCAGATTCTGATGAGGGCCTGTGGCTACCAACAAACGGCGCACCTTCGTCTCCTACTCACGGCGGTGGCCGTAAAAGATGGATTTCTGCAGAATGTTGGTCAACAGATGACTTGTAGGAAACGGGAGCCGTTGTTCTGGGAGAATTTCATAAAACCGCTGGTTATAGTTCTTGAGCGGACTGTAGAGCTAGTCCCGCGCGAAAAGACAACGCGTTTATTTGGAATAACTACCCTGTTGCTGGACGTTGTCAACAGTTATCTACGGGAGTCGAAGCAGGTAGATGCCACAGTGATTGACACCCTGGAAAGAGTGGGACTCCATCTTGCAAGGGCCAATGAAGATGACCTCAGAGGGTTGGGGCGTCCTCGTGGTGGTCCTTTTGCGGGGGATGGAAATGGCGACGGGAAGCCATCTACGCTTCCTGACGCATTTCTGGTGGGCTCGCAATTAAACGAGAATTTCGACGGGCACCCTCTTTCTATCAAAACGCTTTCGGACTATGTTGATGCTCAGTACTGGAACCTCAGGTGTTTGTTCCTTTCGCCACTTCTAAAGCTTCTGAAGAGGCTGCAATCCTTTCCCTTGCCGAGTGACGCACCTGGTGTTGCAATATACACTAAGGTCAAAGTAGGACAGCTTGTCTGCATCGCGAGTGGCGTCGGCCACAAGGTTGTGTTCAACATAGTAGACAATAGATCGTTGGACAAGCAGCTGCTTGTGGGCTCTACTGTGTGCCTGAGTAAAGACAACTTCCACACTGTCTTTTTGGGTACTGTAATTTGGAGAAGCTTGAAAGATGACGATCGTGGACACATTGTGGTAGCATTCCTTGACCCAAAACGTATTGATGCGTTTGTCTCTCTAAGGGGGTTCGTCATGATTGAATGCCCAGAGCGCCACGAGGATTTCAATCTTGTGTTTGAAGTGTTGAGGCAGTGCGGAGCCTCACAATTTGAATTGCCGTTTGAAAGGTACATAATTGGAGGCCAAAACGATCTACTACGCCCAAAGTACATCGACGGAAACACCACCTTCAACATGAGCAATCTGTTTCAAAGGACTGTGTTTGTACGCCCTAACAGAGAACGGGACTGGCCGAGCTACAAAGAAACTGATCTGGATTCGTTTCAGTACGATGCTCTGCAGGCTGCCTTATCTAGAGACATGACACTCATAGAAGGCATGCCAGGCTCTGGAAAAATGTTCCTGACAAAACATCTCGTTGGTGTTATGCTAGACAACACAGATGTTTGCCGACCAGAAGGGCCTGTTATAATTGTGACTAAAGATGAAGAGTCCCTTGACCGAGCCCTTAAAGAATTTCAGAACACAAGTGTTATAAAAGCAAATGCTGCTTTCAGTTATGCCGGCAAACCAACAAATCCCGCTACTGGCACGAGGGAGATATATGAAGTGGTCGAATCAGCCTCTGGGCGCCTGCTACGCCAGCATACCAAAGAGCTTGGACAGCTAAGGTCTGTGATAACCATGGAACAAGAGCACGCAGGGCGCATACCCTCTATGCTGCTTGGAGAAAGTGAACTCAAGTCTGTAATGACCGACCAACATTACAAGAGTCTTTTCTTTAGCCAAGATACCGTTCGGGATAACGTACTCAGTACGTGGATGCAGTTGACAAACAGAGATGTGGTATCGAGATTTTTTCCCGAAAATGAGAAGTGTCTCACAGACGACGAAGTATACACTTTGAAAGACGTTTGGGCCCTTGACATGGAAAGCAGATACCGCCTGTATATCTATTGGGTCAGTCGTTATGCGTCAAAAAAGGGTCGAGACGTGTCTGAACTCGTGGAAAGGTATAGGTCCATACTAATGCTTCAACGCGAAGTGCAGGAACAAATGCATGCTGAATTCTTGAATGATGCTGCAATAATTGGAGCTACAGTGTCTTCGCTTCCAAAGGTCTGGAAGACACTGCGCAGCCCTCGGCCGCAGATGGTGGTAGTTCACGGGTCACGGGAGATTCCAGAGGCCTTTCTTCTACCAGCAGTAGTGCTGGATCCTCATCATCTGGTGCTTTTTGCAGACACTGATAACAAGTTCAGTCACCAGGATGACGCTGGGCATTCAGTAGACTCATTATTCAACCGCCTTGTCCAACAAGGGCTTCCCTGTTGCCAGCTGTTCGGCCAGTACCGTCTTAGTTACCAGTCAATAAAAGTGCTGGAGGCGTTCAAAAGAAAGAAGATGTCAGAGAGGTATGAAATCTTCTCACGTGTGCCTTCAGTGCCAGGGGTGTCTTGCAATGTACGTTTTGTGAGCCACGAATACTGCTACGACAAGGACAACCTGATTGCATGCGCTCTTGAAGCTGAGTTTGTGGCCTCCCTTGTCAAGTATCTCTTGCTTCAAGGTTATCTCCCTGGTCAAATTAGAGTGTACACCTGTAGCAGCGGCCAAGCGGAACTCATTAAGTCTAACATGAGTGACCTGAGCGAGACTCCTGCCGTCGGTGAAGTGGTACATGCCAAAGGACACCAAAGCGAAGTCGTCCTGCTCTCATTCTCAAGCTGGTATTCTCGGAAGGACGGCGGACATCGAGACCGTGACTTTTACCATGCTTTGGCTTCCGCAACGAAAGGCCTGTACGTTATCGCAAACATGCGATACCTGGCAGAGCATGTTCAGTCGTGGAAGGAGCTAACCCGGGTTCTCGAAACAGAAGCGATGGTCGGTCCGCTAGAGCTTCGGTGCCAACTCCACCCCGAAAAGAGGACGCTCGTTTCAAACGCCAAGGACTTCACTACAGTATCGGAAGGTGGCTGCAGTACACCTTGTGATGCTCAACTCTCTTGTGGTCATCCATGTCCCAGGAAGTGTCATTTGTCAGACAGAAACCACACCCTGACCAAATGCACAAAACCGTGCACGAAACTTCTCCCATGCGACCACGTTTGTAAGGCGCTTTGCGGGCAGCCTTGCTCCGAAACTTGCACTGTTATGGTAAACGTGTTTAGTCCTTGCGACCACGTCGTGAGAGTTCGCTGCAGCTCTGTTTATGATCCACACACGGTGCGCAGTGCCTGCTTTGATATGTGCAAGAAAAAGATAAGCCGAGGTGTGAGGTGTACCGGAGTTTGCGGGCAGTGTTACGTTTCAGGGGCGCATAACGGCGATGAGCGGCCGCCTGTAAGAGAACCCAACACGTCATGCAACGCGTGTCTCGTCATGTGACGATCAACATTTGAGCCATGTGTAAATATTGTTTATTTTGGTATCATCATTAAAACGCAAATGTTGTCTGTTCACCTCAAAGACTAGAACGCGCGGAGAGAAATAAACGTTCGAGATTGCAATCACCGAAACTGTATGATTTTGTGTTCCAAGTTTAACATAACATTTTGATCGTATTTAATTGGGGTATGTGCAATATTGATTTGTTCTTTTTAAACAAATTCAAGTCAAATTATTCCCGGTCGCAGTTTATAATGTCAAAGCAGGCAACAAATTGTTGTAAGCTCCAAAGCTGACGTATTTGGCGTGTTAAGTGTACTGTGAATTTGACATACTTACGTGTTTTTGTCTTATTTTTTATGCCTTTCATGCCAGGAAATTGTCAGGCATCGACCGCCTTTTTCTTTAGGCCACCTCTGTGGAGACATTTGGAGGCACAAATTAATAAAAATTTTGTGTGCCCGACATCACAAACGATGTAACGTCGTGCAAAAAAATATCGTTGAGATGGTTCTTCAATTTCCCCTTTTCAGCTTTCAAGATGAAATAGACCTTTCGCTAAATTGCCCATGCTTCAAAAAAAGTTTTGGGGACGTAGCGACGCGCGCTGCACGTGATCGCCTCCCCTATAGAAAAGATTCGAAGTAAACAACCTAAATAAGCGTCCGTGGAACGCGCTTGCTAAGTGCCATTTGTTTTCGGTTTTTGCTTTCATTCAGTTAGAGCTGAAGTTGGCTGAAGACGCCGGCACGTGCAGCACGTGTACCTGCGTTCCCGGCATTCTTTTTGATGCTTGGGTAATTCAACAAAAGGTCCATTAGAGCGTTAACAGGGCGTTTTACCGACCGTTCAAATTAAGAGCTTATGGCAGGTGCCATCTTGAGAGATTGTACTGTGCGTACAGCGCGCTTTGCTCGTTTTTGAAAGCAACAAATGCGTTATTCTTTTTTATTGTGGCGTTAGCACGCAGGGCTGTGAAATTGTTGAAGTCGCAATGATGCACACAACGTAGATAAAATATTTAAGCTTTATCTATATCTAATGATCAAACTGTCACAAGCGGAATTGTATTTTATGAATTACGCAGCCGGTGCTCAAGATCAGTATCCGTCTTCTTGACACGGGCCGCCGTGTCCTTTCGAAACGACGCCTAATCGTTCTTTCTTTCCTTTTTCTTTTTGTGACGACGCCTATGATATATTCGGATAGTACACCTGCCCCTTTCAATCTGAATTAGCATCGTGCCGGTGTACGGTCGTGAATCACTACTACGCGGTGCACATTAAACACCCTAGGCTCACAGTCGTGCTGCACTGGCTAAATTGCTCATCTACGATAAATGACAATGTTGTCATGATCTGGCAGACTAAACACTAACTTATTTTCATTTTTTATTCGACTAGTCGTTTTGTTAGCGCTCCCATCCTCTGAATCGAATGTGCGAGATCCGAGAACGTCTTTAGATCCGAGTTAGATGAACGGCGTGCCAGCCGAACGCTCGGCAAACTTTTCCGAACGGCCAGAGCGCCGACACGGAACCGGATACCCAACCTAGTGCAACTTCCACAACCGCTTCACTGCCATAGCTCCAGCTATCGCACGTATGAAGGGTTTAGCCAATACCATACAACCGTCCATTCAACATTCCTTCACGTCGCACCACCAGCGTCACCGCCGCATGTCCGCACGAAAAAGCGCAACCTTCAATCCGGACGCTAGGCATCTCGGTGGCACGGCCGTGTCGGTGGTATCGGCTTCTTTCAACCCAAGTTTCACAAGTGCATTGTGTGTGAGGTGTATGTGTCTCTGGAGCAGCGTTTTAATTTACTTCGACGACTGCATTTGTAACTAGCGACAGGTGCGGGCCAGGAACGAGTGTCATTTAGTGGCGTTCGAAAACCTACCCCCCGTCCATCGCTGCTCCACTGCGTTGCTCTATCTGTGTCGCCATGTCAGCAACGTCGGACGTCGGCTCAGAGTGATTTTTTTTTTAATCTTCTGATTCAGGTAACGTTATGTTCTCAAACTTTCGCATTTTTTCACTACCACTAGCGTCACGATTTCCGGAGTTCCTACTTTCTGCAATGCGTAGAATTTTTTTTTTTTTGCGGGCCCACATTTTTTGTGTATTGATTTTTGCAGAACGCGTGACCATCAAGAACATTCAAAAGTAACAGATGGTAACAGGCATGCCCAATGTAGCGATAAAAGCCGTAATTTTACGCCTTTCTTTGGGTGCTATTATGCGGGTTAGCTAAACATCACGAACATATCTAGAGGAATTTTGCATTCGCATGAACTGAACGTAAAGGTCCGACTGTGTTATTATTTATTTCTTTTTCTGAGGGTCCGCCATCTCCCTTGTTCAATAGGAACGAAGATTTGCTCGAAAGATGTCTCCGTAAAATGTGCAGTTGAGACACGGATGAACATTCATGGTCTGGTAGGCTTCCATGAAGCTGGCCACGTCGTGGGGTCGCACCTGCAAGTTTGACCGACAACAAAATGTAATACCATCAAGTTTTTCCAGACACTATTTTTAAGACAACACGTAAAGTACTCGCGACTGCGACCACGAGATTCCTATTTCTGTTTTCCAGGATTTCGCTGCCAAGCCGTTCCAGTTTTGCTCCAAAGTTTTGATAGAATATAGCTTCTCTAATTTACGTCTTTGGCGCTGGGTGGCGTCTCCTCGCTTCCGGTTGCAAACAAAAAGAGAGAGAGAGAATAAAAGTTATCTCTGAGACCGCATGTTCTTTGCCCTCTCTATCCACGTGTCGCTCTGGGCTCACGTCAGTATGCACCAGCTCAACTCTGTGACATCCCGCCCCTCCGGTTGCGCTGCTGTCCGCACTGGGCATGCGCAGACGGCGTATCTTTTAGCGAATCTGGTTTCGGGGCACGCGCAGTGCCCGCACCTGTTGTGGGCAAACGCGGGATCGTTTTGTAAACGATGTGTGTGTGTGTGTATACTCCGCCTCAAATAGGCGGTGCAACTATTTTCTACTTTCAGTAAATACCTCTTTTAAATATTCCTTGACTTTCATCACCTAAGCAACACCCGTTAGTTTTGCATTCCACGCAAGGGTAGCCAGCAGAAGAAAAAAAAGAAAAGAAAAGAAAACTGAGCGGCGTTCATTTTTTTAACGCGCAACCAGAACAAGTGACCGCAGCGAGACCAAATGGCCAATGTTCATCACAGCCGCAGACTTAGGTTGCCAAAGCGCAGGGCACGTGCCGAGTTCAAAAGATTGTTTGGTGCTCAGCCACGGGCCCCGTCATTACAGCGATTGAACACAAGCCACTACCTAAAAGCTGGCTGAGGCATTGATTGTCACGAGCCTGCGCACACACCGTGCTCGTGTCCCATTTATGAGCCGCATTTGAATATCGCCACTATGAGGTACCTTCGTTAATACGTCAACACTATAATCTTGGTGATTACCTCATTATGTTCTGTGTAGGAAAGACTAAAATATAAAGTTTGCTTTTATTTGTACACCGCGACGAAGAGGCTTTTTGTTCAGTGCCTTTACATGCCAGCATACTTAGGGCACACCAGTGACAGGAAGCTTGTGTTAAGTGTGAAACATTCCAGCCCAGTATCGTTGCGTGACCCCTTTAGCGTCAACTGTAATACGACAAGGGCTCCAGGCGTGAAGGGTAACCGTGGTGTACCAGAGCCCGCTTCACATGCGCTGGTGCTGCGAAGGCGTACCCGCTTTGGTCCTGCCAAGGCTCACCCTTTTAGCCATAATTCGCCCGTTTCTAAGTCTCAAAAAGGGCACCTTCGCGCAGAAAGTAGATGCCTATCGAGTGTGCCTTGAAGTTTCAACTCGGATATCTTAAAGTAATTCATATAGATTCGCTATTGAAGTAAACTTTAATAGCTTTTACGAAGCGATGCAGATGTACTTTTTGGAGATGATGCAGGCAAAAGTCAAGAGTTATCGTGCATAGCTTCCAAAGGCCGAAGTGCAAGGGTTTTATTGCTCATAAATTTAACTTTGTTGCTTCAGGAAAGAGTATAGACAATTCAATCAAGGATTCGCGACCAGATGCCATTTTTGAATCGCAATTTTATCGCCAGTAGCACCTGCTATTGACGATAGTTGCGCATCGAGGGGGCGCCACCCACAAGAAACTTGGGGAATCCAAACCCTAATGGCGAATTCCACTGGGCGTTTTGGAGCGCGCGGGGTCAGTTGACCAAATACGGAATGGAGCATACGATCCGAACGAGGTCGCGCCGCCTACGGATCCCCAGTGGAACATGACCACTGCTCCGGGATCGGTGGATGCCTTCCCGTCATTCAACTGCCCGGGAATCCCCTTTCTGCGGCCGCCGCGGTCGTTTCGAAGACGTTTTCGCAATCGCGGCGCTAACACGTGTTCGGCGCACGAGCGGCAGGATTGGCTCAGGAGCTTCTAGCAAAAATTGCCGGAATGCTCGTAGCGTGGCAAATTCCTTCTCTTTTTCTTCCTGGAAAACGAACCGGCTGTCGAGCCAAGGGGTAAGCAAGCGGCCACTACGGATTCTGATGTCGAGACAATCTAGGAGCCCAGCCAGCGACGTGCTTCTTCTTCTTTTAAGGCGAAATGGGCGAGCTCAGGCGAGATGCCCCACGAGAAAGGAAGTCACGTGAGTGCGCCGAGGGCTGGCCCGGCTGGCTTCCGGTTGAATCCGCCGAAATTGTGGGAGCGACTTTTCTCGGATCCAGATCGAGATCTGGAGCGGGAGCTAATCCAAAATGACCAGTGAAACACGTCGGTCTCGATCCCGATCGCCCAGTGAAATAGGCTCGCTCCAGAAAAGTCGATCCCGGCGCGCTCCAAAACGACCAGTGGAATTCGCCATAAGTTAGGGGTGGCTAAGCTGCGGCTCTTCGCGTCTGAAAGTGCGGCTTGCGACTCCCTCCCCTTCCCCCACCCCTTCCCCACTCCCCCGCCTCCGTCCCGGTCAGACGAGGACTTCCCCAAAAAGAAAAATGGAACGCGTTTCAAATCGAAAGACAGGTTGCGGTTTGGTAGTATTGTGCTACTGCTACCTTACGTACAGTTGCACTGCTTTTGACTCGGATAAATTG